TTTTATTAGAGGTTGATCTATAAAAAAAATTCTTGTTCGAGGTGAAGTTATAGAGGAGCACGTAGGTGAAATTGTGTTGTGGCTCAAAATTCACGTAAAGAATTCTATTTAGAATTCTGGAAGAACGCAAACTGGTTGCGCTTCGGCAAAATGGTTAAATCGATATTTCAAAGTAGCGGAATCAGTTGCGTTTTAGCGGAACCGGTAAAACGCAACCGGTTGCGCTTGTCTAATACCTGCGAAAATTACTTCCTAATCCGTTTTGGAAGAGATAATTTACACAAACTTCCCATATGGTTTGCTATAATTGCAAGGATCTCTGGTTTGAGAATTTACTCAGACCTCCCCTAAGAATGAAAATATCTTACACGGACCTCCCTTCTGTTAGAGTCAACATCAATTAAGGACAGAAATTGCTGACGTCATGTACAATTTTTACTAAAATCCCCATTATACCCTTGTCCTTATACAATTACATATTATAGGTAAAAGATATATATATACTTGATATTATATATATATATATATATACACACATACACACAAAACCTAATTCATGAACCTGGTCATGAAAAATAGCCCAGCAAATACACATTTCAACAAATCCATTTCAAGACCAGAGAGAGCTTCCAGTGACGAGCACCGGCGCAGGCAATGATAGAATCGGTGGGCAAGTTTCTGATCGGCGAGCAAATACTAGAAACCAAAAATTTCGACGGTGAAGACACGAAGGCTGTGACGAGGACGGCGGCTAGAGAGAAGTTTGGGTCCCTTTAATTCTGAGCGATTCCGACAAAAGGAATGGTGGTTGCAAAGTTTTGTTCTCTCTCTTCTCCTCTCTCTCCCTCCCTCCCTCCCTTTATATATATATATACACACACACACATATGTTGCGTGTGTAATTCTTCGAGACAATCAAAGAATTTTCAGAGGATGCATGAGAAAAAACAATTGCGACATTGAATTCAACAACAAACTGCGGTAAACCTAACCTTACCCAAATTAGGAAAAAAAAAAAAAATACCCAAATCAGGGAAACAAAAAAAACCCTTACCCAAAATTCTGACCTCACCAGAGAAGAAACATTGCTTCCATTCAAACCCAGGTAAGTTAAACCTTACCAATATATGTTGATCATGCAACTCAAGCTCCAAATCAACGTAATGGTCATCAAAATTAAAGTGTTTTTATGAGTTCAAACTCAGTAATTGATCAATTCAGAGATATATTATAACTAAAAAAAAAATGATATTGTGGCGAAATTAAGGAAATGATCTTGTGGATAGAGAGAGAATTGAAGGCTGACAGACCACCATAGGGGATAGCACTGGGATTGATTCCAGCGGTGATGGACGGCAATGACTAAGCGTGGAGGACACGAAGGAGCCGCCAGAGTCAAAGTCGGGAGATCGGAGCTTGAGATTGCGAAAAACCCATCTCAAGGAGTTCATTCTCTCTTCGCTTCCATCATCCCACGATCACGCACCATGACTTCTGTTACAAGTGAAACTTGTCCCACATCGGATTTGGATGGGGGTTGAAGTGTGTATAAATGGGTGGGTATGCAGCATTACCCAATAGTTCGAGCTTTTGGGTAAATGGGCAAGCGCCCACCCATTACAGCTTCCCTATTTACTGTGTTTATTTTATTCTTCTTTTTTTTCTTTTTTCTTTTTTTTTCCCATATTTTTTATTTTTTTATATTGCTTTGTTGTCAATATTTCATTGGCTTGTGAGATTACACTTTACACATACATAACAAATACATACACACACACACACATAAAGATGGAGGAAAACAAAGATGTTGGTGGCGGTGGCGCCCATGGTGGTCGGCAGTGGTGGCCCCAAACAGTTTAAGATTTATTATTATTATTTTTGTTTCTCTTTCTCTCTTATATATATATATATATATAAAGGGCGCTTCAGTAATTTACCATAGAAAATTAAGGGCATTTCAATAAATTAGCCAGGTACATTAGTGTATTTGACGGTCCGTCACACATAAGAGAAGTCCGTGTAGGATAGTTTCATTATTAGGGGAAGTCTGAGTAAATTCTCAAACCATAGGGGAGGTCCGTGTAATTATGGCAAACTATAGGGAAGATCTGTGTAAATTACCCTTTTGGAAGTCAGAAAACTGGGGAAAAAAATTAAAGATTTGGGGAAGAAGTTGTACTTGCTATTTTAGAGTTGAAAACTAATATATGGTAACTCCTTGTAGGTAAGTTGAGGAATACTTATCCAACAAGGAATTGAGTTTTGAAGACTTTATAAATAGAGATGGGTTTGAGTTTAAAGAGAGAGAAGAAAGAAAATATAAGGGGTTTGAGGGGTGAATGTCGTGAGAAGATGAGAGAGTATATGTAATTCTGAGTGTATAGATGTAACCTCAAAGATACGATGAGTGAGTGTTGTTGTATATTCTCTTCCTTTGATTCATAATAGTGAAATCTGTCTCCCCATGAATGTAGCCCTAGAGTTGAGTGAACCATGTAAAATAGTTTTGTGCGTGGATGTGTATGATTGTTATCTCCATAAATGCTTGTGTTGATGTAATATAATGATACTTCCGCGGTGTGTGATGAAGGAAGGATTTAACTCTCAACAATAGTAGATTGTTGAGTGTGTTGGAGGGAGTTAATTATCCCTAATACATACAGCCTCCAATAATGGTTTAGAGGCAGGCTTACGTAACCCCCGAGAAATACTTTAATACTCTTATTGTAATGACATGGTATCACTAACTAATTAAATGCTAATACATAATGATGAATCTATTAAATAAATATATATATTTTTTTACGTGACATGATATAATTGGTTAGGACCGATGATGTGATATCATCATAGCTGGAGAGTCTTTCTCATAACTAAACCTGTAAACGGATCAAATTCAGACCGGATTAGTGCTGACCCGATCCGAATCCGATAAGGATATACTCAATCTGATCCGATCCAAAAATCCAACGAATATTTTGTGAATCAATCCATATCTGATTTGCTAATAAACGGATATCTGATCCGATAATTCGGCTCGATCGGATAAGTGTGTGTACTTTTTTTTTTGTTTAAAAAAATAATAATAATTTCAAAAGAGAATAAAAAAAAAAAAAAAAATTAGATCTTTTACTCATTTTTAAAGAATAAAAACTTAAGAATAGGAAAAAATAAAGAGAGTTAAGGAGGAGGAGAAAATAAGGATAAGAATTTTTAATAATATGAAAAATATTATATATCATAAAATAGATTATATATTTTAATATGCTATATAATATATTATTTCAGATCGGATTGTTATCGGATTGGATTGACCAGAATTCATATCCGATTTGTTTAGTTAATGAATTATTGAATTCGGATCGTTAACGGATTATCGAATTAAATCTTCAATCCATATTCAAATTATTGAATCGGACTATCCATTTGCATGTCTACTCGTAACCCGTTACCTAAGTTAAATGGGATATGCTATGCAACATGAGTGAATTGTGCCATTTCGATATCACTATTCCATTCCATAATTCTCTCTTCCAGAAGAACCGACTTATGGCAATTCAGTCGAGAGATAAATTTCAACTGCAAACAAGAAACAATTGGTATATATATGCACTACAATTCTTCATGTGCACACACATATACACACACACATAGATACATGGATATATACAGACGTATGTGAGAGAGAGAAACAAAGAATATTTCAATTCTTCCAACAGCCTCTAATTTCTTAGAGAAGCATCTGTCTCCTTATTTCTTAGAGAATTATTCAATAATTAAATTATTTGGTACTCCAACTCTAGATGCTAGGGACGTATAGTTCAACCATTTTACTTTTAGTTTTTGTCTACTTGATATAAAAATCAGCAACTTGCATGATCAAATTGGTAGACAAAGTCACGTAGTCAATTTTTATTATCAAATTAATGAGGAAGCTAGAAAAGTTTTTCTGATTAGTTTTTGAGATTCTTAATAATCTACGGTTATCTATAAAAATCAGTAACTTGCATGATCAAATTGGTAGACAAAGTCACTTAGTCAATTTTAATTATCAAATTAATGAGGAAGCTAGAAAAGTCTTTCTGCTTACTTTTTGAGATTCTTAATGATCTACGGTTATCTACATCATCAAAAAGGCCATTTAATAGCCTAAGACAACCATGGCATGAATAAGTCTTACGTATGTATTAATGAGAAAAAGTCTTAGCTCTGATGGCATCCATCTTTTTTTTCCACACAGAAGGTTAAGAATTCTAGTCCCTAACTACTCGGAAAAAATAATAATAATAAAAAAAAAAGAGAGAGAAATGATGATAGAAAAATAATACATCCTCCAAATTTTGAAGATATCCAATAAGAGATGCGTGAGCCGCTGCGATGTATGATTGTTAGCAAGTAAGAACACTAATGCTACATCTTGAATGATTTTCACCTAAGGACTCAAATGTATATGATTTAACAGTAGCGAAGCCTAAATTTCAAAGGGAGGAAATATTTTGTCAAATGTCCAAACACCATTCAGTTAACGGAGTTCAGGTGACATGCATATATGAAAGCTTGACTCACGTCATATTCTAGAGGGCTCAATAGTTTGAATATTCCAACGCAAGAGTATTATATATATATATGGAGGACAAACCTACAGGCCATAGCAGACCACATAGAAAAAACAAAAAATAAAAAATAAATAAATAAATAAAGGCTAAAATACATCAAAAAACCAGAAAACAGCCGCAAGAGCCAAAACTACATCCAAAACAGAACGGTATAAGTGTATTATAAATTATAAAATAAGAAAAACAAAAAGAGAAGATAGAAAAAGAAAAAACCTAGTGAGGACATTGGGCACTAAAAAAACACAATACCACAACCTTCCAAATACTAATTTTAATTCTACCTAATTCCAACAAAAAAAATTGTATTCTTCAACATTATTCATAGAAATACTCCTGCAATGGTGTAAGTTCGAGTCTGGGAATCACCCTCTCAAGAAATATTCGTGCGTGGAAAACAGAATCATGAAATCCCAAGAACATATCTAGCATTTCAACAAATCACTGATACAATCTTTCATATATATATATATATATATAAACAACTGATAAGGAATAACATGAATACTAATTTCTTCAAGCAAGAACAGCTCAAATACAGAATTGGGGACAAATATATATATATATGTACAAATATATATATATATATACATACATACATATATATATATATATATAACTCAAACAAAGGCATATAAATCAGGAACAAAGGAAAACCACCTGAATCCACAGCTCCATTTCTCAGGCAACAATGGGCATTTGGGCAACCAATGCCAAGTCTTCCTCGAAACCTTATAATACAAAATCTCCGGCCAAGTATAGCAGCACACATAAATCATCCCTTCATGCCACAAACAATACACATGCTCATAGTTATGGTAGCAAACCGATACAAATTTCCTACACATCATCTCCGGCACCCTTTCGACCTCAACCCAATTCCCTCCTCCATTTCCATTCAATTCCCACAATTTCATGCTTTTTGAAATCCCATTCCCCCCAATTCCACCGACCAAGTACAACTTGTCATCCCCATTACTCAACAACCGAGCAAAAGTAAGCTCACCCTGTAACTCAATCATTGAGCTCCCCCATTTCCCAGTCTCCAAATCAAAGCACACAATCGAAAAAGGCTCCGGGGTTGCAAAATACAAATACCCATTATAGAAAACACCTTCTTGATGAAAATTGTCACTGAGATTCAGCTTAAATCCCTGAAATTGCCGCCACGAATGAACCCTAGAATCGTACACGAAGGCAGCGCTTGATGACCCACCAGAAGAGGAAAGCATGAAAATTCGGTACCCTTGCGATGACGAAACCAGAGTAAGCAACTCAAAAGCAAAAGGGTATGTTGGGAATTCCACAATTCTTGAGGAATTGGACAGGAGATTGCAGACCAGAAAAGAGGGCGAGTTTGGGAGATAGAAACAGAGGAGGCCATTGGAGGCGGAGAGAAGGGATGTGGAGGGGGCGCAGGATAAGGCCAGAGAGAGGGGGAGAGATGACTTGCGCCAGGTGGTGAGGATAGTGTCGTAGAGAGGGTAGTGGTGGTGGAATTGTGGGTGAGAAAGCAAGAGAAAGGAAGAGAAAGGTGAGGAAGATGAGGAGTGTTTGGAGACGAATGAAGGAGAGAAGGTGAGAGACTTGAAGCGTTTACAGGTTGATCTGAGACTCAAGAAGGTTTTCAATGGGAGGAAGGAGAGGACTTGTTCCAGGAGATGCTCCGGAAGCCGGCTCCATATTCCGGGATCCATCACCGGTGATGTCGTCGGAGAGACTGACCTACCATTGTTCACCATAATTTTTTTTTCTTTTTTTTCCTGCCCAACAAAAACAGCACTACACAGCAACAAGATTACAAAGAGCACCAGGCGCAAATACCAGGATGAGAACATACAAACAAGCAGCAACAAACCACCCATCAGTAGGAGTATACATAGAGAGAGAGAGAGAGAGAGAGGCTTTGATAAAAAAAAGGGGTTGTGACTTGTCACGGATTTAAATAGTTTTTTTCCCAAAATTTGAAAATACAAAATTAATTAATTAATTCTATATATCTTTTTTAAAAAATAAAATAAATAATTCATGAATGAAATTGGAATCTTAACAAATTCTATATATGTTATATATTTAGAGACTTTTGACATTTTTGTGCTGCCATTGTTCACCATAATGTCCGTGAGAGGAAGGACTTTAATATAAAAAAAAGAGTATTTTCTTCTTGATTTTAGAAGACCAATACAAAGTCCAATATCATGATAAGTACAACAAACATTTAAAAAGTCAGTGAAATTCCTAACATGTTTTTCTCATAATCTCCACTTCTAGATTGCAGTTACCATAGCTAGTATGGGATCATCAAGGAAAATAGTAAATTCACATCAAACTAGCACAAAATGTCAAAAGTCCCAAAATATATAACATAGACTACCATAATTTCAATTTGGTCTAAAATTCGATCTTCATGCAATTGAATGATATATATATATACACATATATGGTTAAATTTTTTTTTTTTTTTTGGTTAAATCATATATGGTTAAATTGACAACAAAGAGAGATACGTTCTTCTTTTCTTAAATTATGTTCGACTACGTGAAATTAGAGTCTTACAATTATAATTGAAAATTCAATTTTTTTGTAACTTTAAACTAAATGTTTCTTCAATTCTATAAATTCATATTTCAATTTCATGCAACCGAATATAACCACAATTTTATAAAAGGACTATCCAACATCTAACTTTTTTTTTTTGTTAAAAACTTAAACTATTATATTTAGGGAAAAAAATAAAATAAAACTTGCCGAGCAAGAACGAGAAAAAATGAGCGTTGCACCATCCTTGCTGCTACGAGCCTGAATGATTGTGAGAATTTTAGGCACTGAACTTGCTCTTAACTATTACCTTTATCAAAAATATAAATAATAAAAAAAAAAATTCAAAGATTTATACACTTTTAATAGTAGTGTGTGCGCGCATTCACATAAAAGTGTAAAACTCCATGCACGTTTTTCCTTTTTAAAATTTATAATAGTTTTATTTTCATATATATAAATAACAAAAGCATAAAATAATTTAAAATTTTATCTTCTTGTCAAATTTTTAACAAATTTAAAAATATCCACCTTTAAAAGATATATATTTTTAATTATTTTCTGAAACTCTCATTTTCTGTTTTTAGACGTCATCAAAATTGGTTTAAGGGACCAGGAAAAAAAAAGAAGTAGATTCCCCTTATTTCCCAAGTAAATAATAATAATAATAATAATAAATTTTGTTGAAAGTAAAAAATAGTAGAATGTGGAGTGGATTAAAGAAAAAATAAGCTTTCTTTCCGCATTTACTTCGTCAGATGCAAAATACTGAAAATACTTAGTTGGAAAGTTTCATTTTATGGTTTAGAGAGCATAACATAGAATTCTTTATTTATCTAACTCAAAATAGCAATAATAAATGAATTTTCGTAAGTCAATCATCTTTTTGCACAATTTTATTGTTTTTGTGTGTGTGTGTGTGTGAGAGAGAGAGATAGAGAGAGAGAGAAGAAGAAGGGGGGATCATCTTTTTGCACAATTTTATTGTTTTTGTGTGTGTATGTGTGTGAGTGAGGCTAGGGGGGTCATTTTTTTGCACAATTTTATTGTTTTTGTGTGTGTGTGTGAGAGAGAGAGAGAGAAGAAGGGGAACATCTTTTTGCACAATTTTATTGTTTTTGTGTGTGTATCTGTGTGAGAGAGAAGGGGAGAGTGTTTTTTTTTTTTTTTTTTGCTTCATTGGAAAAAATAATTTTCCATCTTAATAATATTCAAGTACTTTCGTCACACCAAATATAACCATAACCAGAGACTCTGTGGTTTTCTATTTTCATAAAATAAAAAAATAAAAATAAAAAAAGTAATTTGATTGAAAAGTTTCTAAACTATGTAAGAGAATTTTTTTTTTTTTTTTAAATCAATTTTATTTATCTCAATGTTACGGAAACAGTATTCTCTTTGCAGTATTTCATTTATTATTATTATTATCAGAGAGAGACTGATCCAAAATAATTCTAACTACTTCTAGAAGATTTAATGCATGTTTTGTGCACGAAAAATTCAAAGAAATGAATCAAATTTATCAGGAAAAAAATGATAAATTTGCCAATTGTTGACGAACGACGGCTTACACCATTGATGTTTGACTTTGTATTCTAAATAATTAATTAATTAATACCCGGAGGGTCACTATTTGTCCTAAAATAACATACAAAAAAAATTATAACAAAATGAGCCGAACCGAGCTGAACCTAGTTTTAGCTGTTCAAAGTATAATCAAACTCGAGCTTATTATATATTAGTGTTTGAAACATAATTTCGTAATCCTTAACTCATTTAGTCAAATTCTGAGCTCAAGCACGAACTTTATTCGAGACTAAGATTGTAAGGACAAAAAGTAATTACCAATTCGAACTACCCTAGTAAAAAAGTGTTCGCGAAGCATAACAGGCTTGTAAACAACCACTTATCACCAAGCAAATTTAGAGTTTTCCAGTCTTGAGTCATATGCTGTTTTGAAGCTCAACTCGTGTACTTAACAAATAAGTTTTTTTTAAAAAAATTAATCGGGTTTAAACCAAACTATTCATGAACAATTCAAATTCTTTTGCAATGCTAGATATAAAGATGATAAACCACATAGTGGATAAGTCAAAATAAAAATTGTGCAATAAAATAAATAAATAAAATTAGAGGCATTTCACTTCATGTGGACACCATTTAAAAAAAAATAAAAAAATAAAAAATAAAAAATTATGTGACAAACTAGGGGAATATGGAACTGAAACACGGACACACCTACTCGAGAAGCCTGACCAACACGTGACTTAATGAATCCAATTTGCATACCCTCTCTAAAGTTCCATTTGCAATGGAAATCTGGAGACATTATATTAGTGTTTGAAACATTTATTACCACTTATCACCAAGCAAATTTAGAGTTTACCAGTCTTGAGTCATATGCTGTTTTGAAGCTCAACTCGTGCACTTAACAAATAAGTTTTTTTAAAAAAAATTAGTCGAGTTTAAACCAAACTGTTCATGAACAATTCAAATTCTTTTGCAGTGCTAGATATAAAGATGATAAACCACATAGTAGATAAGTCAAAATAAAAATTGTGCAATAAAATAAATAAATAAAATTAGAGGCATTTCACTTCATGTGGACACCATTTAAAAATAAAATAAAAAATAAAATAAAAAAATAAAAAATTATGTGACAAACTAGGGGAATATGGAACTGAAACACGGACACACCTACTCGAAAAGCCTGACCAACACGTGACTTGATGAATCCAATTTGCATACCCTCTCTAAAGTTCCATTTGCAATGGAAATCTGGAGAAAAGGACAAGAAAGTACCAAGGAAAACTTTACACTATGACTTTCCCTGTTTGGTTGTGTTAAGTTGAACTGCAAGGAAAAATGAATGTGAAATGGAAGGGAAGAAAGAATTTATATATCTTTGAAGAAACCTAAAGAGTAAAAAACAATTTTCATACCAATCACAAGAGCTGACTCATGTTGAATAGAAAAGGCTAAAATGAACAAAGTTCATAATAATCCTAGAAAGACTCACAGCTTTGTATCCTATTACCAACCACACCAACTTATCATACCAATCAGAAGAAATTACATCATTTGAGCACCTTAGGAGAGACAACAAATACAACAAAATTCAACCAAGTTTGGCAACAATTCTGCATAAACAACCTCATATTCATGCATCTTTACATAATTAAATTCCACTATGCTATGACCAGCTTCATATTCAACTTCATTACTTACAACACCAATCGTAGAGGGTGACATTCAAACTAACATATGATTGGAACAAATAATAGCAGCATTACAGGTCAGTTACGCGGATACATTTTCCATGTACAAATCACCACATTTTCAACACAGCCGCAAGTTTTCATCCTCATCTTCCATGGTCTGGACGACCTTTTTTCTCTTTAATTTTAGCATCTTCTTTTTTCTAATATTTTTCTCCCGAGAGAAGAAATTAACACATTGTATCATCTCATGCCACGTTAAGGAGAACCGGGTAAAAGTATAAAGGTAACTGTGAACCAAGCTATGAAGTATGCATGCGCAATCCAGCCAACAGGAAATATAAACACTACTGTATTAATTGTCTGAAATACCATGCAGTCAGTATTGACTGTGCTAAGGGTGTTGTGAATGTGAAATTTTGATGACACAAACACATGCAAACGATAAAGCAATAATATTAAAGGATGGTGTGCTCTTTTTCAGTAATTAAAAAAACACAATGAAAATTATGAAAGAAAAAAAAAAAAAAAAACCACACACACACACACACAATGAAATCACTAGCAAGTTAGCAACAAATATGCCCAACATTTCTAAGAATAATTATCAGCTACAAAGAACTAAACCACATACAGTAAGGTTGAAGTTCAGGGAGATGTATATGGACATGCTCAGAGACCTTCAAGGAGGTTGTGACTCATCCACAAAAACAATCCAGATGCAAAAACCAAATGGAAAGTAAAAGGGAATCAAGCTTCTAAAGTTCAAAACCGTTTCTTTGATCAAACATATAAGATTACCCAGAACTCCAACGAATCAAAAGTATCCCAAGATCAATCAATGGTGATCAAAAACATCAAATCGTAAAGAGTCCAGTGATATCAAGAGATCCTCTTATGTCATGCAGTAAGCCATTAACTGATAGAACTAAAACCTAAAGAGCTTCAATTGCCACCAAAGGCTCATTTTAGAAGCCTTGCACATTTAAAATATAGCTCGACTCCACCTTTTCAATTCACAGATCACATGAGAGTGTCTCGGGATCTATGAATTGGTGTCTTTATTGTTGTTAGCCTGGCATAAGTAGACATACATAAACTGTCCAAAATGCGTTCCTAGCTACTTTAAATTGTGGTCCTCGCATTTAAATATAAGGTGACTCAATCTGAAAACTAGCCAAAGTTACTTGGTTTCCCTTGACTCCGCTAACTTGACTTGAAAATTTGGCAATTTAAGTTCAATAAATTGAAGAGTTGCTCAAGAAAATAAATACAAGTTAGCATAGCATAGTTGGGAATAACAAATTTCTTCCCAACCCATTTCAGTTGGAAATTGATCTTTATAGATGCATGCAACCACCCACAAACCATGTGAATCATGTGCATTTGAGAAACATAAAAACTCAAATGCTTTACAGCTAGGCCATGGCCCAAATCAACCTGGTCACCTGTGCGGGTTTGGCAATTAACTTGTGCTTCCGCGTCACAACAACATGCATCTGGCAAGAATTTGACCACTAGATCATCCATGCAAACATTCCGTATGTTAAACCATCCTAGATTACATGTTCCAAAAGAACTATTCCCATATAAATCGCAGCCTAAAGTAGTTATAGTTTCCTGTTTCTGGAGAGAGAAAATGGAAACATGTCATCTTGCACTATGAAAATGCAAATAGAGCCAGTTAATTCAACTGGAATTAACTATTTTTTATTTACCATGTACTATTTTTTATTTTTTTTTGATAAGTAAATTATCTTTACTATTTACCATGTAGTATCGACCTTATTTACAAAATAATTGACATTCTAGGTTGGATACAAATCATGCAAGCAAAATCATTTCAATTTGAATACAAAACCAATCTGATAGAAAAGCTATATACAATCACCATGGCAAGCATACTGTTTATAACCAAAATTGAACAACAAAAAACCAAAGAAAACTAGTAACAGACAATGAATATACAGTAATGTACATAAAGAACACTTCAAATTCTCAAATGACCTGATTTCTGAAATGTGTAAATGTCAATCGCTCCAGTTATCTTGATCCAGTGCAGGAGCCTGCCCCTTTCTGCTCCAATCATCCTGCATGTCCATCCAAATTCAAAATGAAATAAGAGGCTTGTCATTTGACATTATCTGTACTCCTAATGCATAAACGGAAATGGAATTTAAAAAACGTGGGTGTGAAAATTGAGATCACACACCATTTCATCAAAGTCATCAGACATCAAATTGGATGGGGACCAGACAAGAATTTGCCTATCATTACCACCAGTGTATAATTCCTGCAACAAGGAAGACACAAATCGTTTATCAACTTGTCTAATCTGTCTTCAAAGCAGAAAAATTAATACTTGGTTAGGTAATTCAGTTTTAGTGTCCAAATCTAGGGCATTAACCATCCCATATATGCCTTTGGTAATTAATATAGAAGAACCAATCATGAAGTAAGAAGTAAGCCCTTTCTTTTTTCTTTTTGTTTTCCCACTAATACTTCCTTTTGCAGGCCCTAAAATGAACCCACATTATGATCAAAGTTCTATTAAACAGCTATATTCAGTTATTGATTTATTTTTAATTACATACACTATCACCTAAATCCATTTTTCACCAACTCTCCCCCGTTTCCTATTGGTGGAAATCCTGAGTCTTTTCTGCCTCAGGCACAGGGGACCCAAGAAAATATATATGTGGGAGAAATTCCTTTTCTTTTTGTTTGTTTGTTTGTTTGTTGTTGTTGTTGTTGTTGGGTGGGGGGTGGGAATTTCACCACCCCACTCCCAACCCACAGAATAATTAAGTAAACATAAAATCACAAAAGACATAAAATTAAATCATCAAGATGAATTTAATTTTACCTGATCCAGAGAACTATACCAACAACAATTCACATATTCATAGTGGCCACGAAATGTCAGAAAAGTTCTGCCCAACCATACATCAAACGCCTAAGGAATTCAACAATTAGTAAGTTCATAGATAGTTTCAATAATTTTACATGTAAAGTTGAACGTATTATCAAACATAGAAATAGCTGTTTACTTTCACTGCTGTCATGCACGGAACAAATACAAGTGCAGAGTCCTGAGTTATGGCTAGCTGTATTGGCTTGCTGGTTTGCAGGCGCACAGTTTCAAAGTTCACTAGTGTGTTGCAGCCAGATTCAGTATCCCACAACCTTAACCTCGAATCAGAACCTGAAATTTAGATTATTAAAGATACAGATATAGATAGATGTGCGTTGGTTTGGGGGAGGAAGAGAGAGAGAGATGAATAACATACTGACAGAGCAACAAGCACATATTAGGTCTAGTAACATATCAAGATCTTTATCGAAAAGAACCAAGACAGCAGAATTATTTTCTTTAGGCAGTTGTCACATTGAACAGCCATTGTGCAGATTTATGCATATAGGAACTCCAACCACACAAAAGCTTATGTCCCCCAGTCCCCTATCCAATATATTCTTTTTATAAATTACATAGCAGTTAGTGTGCATGCCAAGCCCTCACATTCTAAGGTGGTTTTGATGAAATAATATAAAACAATAGAGAGAGTAAAAGGCAACTAAAATACAACCTATGTCCATGGTTGTGAAAAGAAAATAAAGTTATTAAAACATGGCTTGCAAGTTAAGGAAAAAAGGGGAGGGTGCGGAAGAATCACAGAAATTGCAAAAAAGAAGAGACAAGGGAAGGATTCTCTATGTGAAGCCTAATTAATATCAATAGGCTCCATCACTACAAAATCCATCATCCATCATTTTTATCATTAGGCGCCAACCCCATTCAGATGGGACCATGTCAAGGATGACGATCATCTCCTCCAACTGACAAGCCTGCTATTTTGACCAGTATTGTTCCGGTGTTACCAAAGACACCATCTGCTCACCTATAATTATTTTATGTTAAAAATAATATACTCAATATTATTTAAATATTGCTAAATCTTGGGTTTCAAGAAAAAAGCATTGAGCGTATTGTACTTATAAAAAAAATTGTAATGTAAATATAGAGCAAAGAAAAGTGAATGTTAAAATTGCAGTAGTAAAACAAAACATAAATGAAGGCCCCCACCATTATGAACCACTATTATGTTATTTCAACCCTTGAAGATTCGCTGATAGCATATATATATATATTGATATAGACCACATAAAGAAATAGGATGATCCATAAAAGATTGTCGGACTGACAAACTTGTTGGAACATCACTATATACATGAAAGAAATGAGCAACTTTGTCAATTTTCAGGATATTCACAAACTGACTTTGTATACTTACTAGAGGCTACTTTGAAGTCCAACTTAAATGGATGTTTGCCAAATATATTAAAGCAAGAATAACAAAATAATATTTACTTTAACCCCAAGGGGTTGGCTCAAGTGGGAAGTCACTTGGCCCTGGTGCCTCAGGAAGCATCAGGTCTAAGGTTTGACTCCTCTTGTGCAAACAATTCATTGGAGGGGGGGAGGGGGGGGTGTGAGTACCAACTAGGAAATATATATATATATATATATATATATATATATATAAAATTTACTTTAAACAATTGAACAGAACTCAACCTGCACTCAAAAGATACATGCCATCTTCGGTCACTTTTAATCCAATAACTGCACCATAATGAGCTGTGGCACGATCTCGACTGGACAACATCCCTGGATGCAACCTCTGCTTTACAGATCCATTAACATTACTGGCACTTCTGTGCTTTGATCCGTTGCCAATGGCTATTTTCTTTTGTAGTGCCCGGGCTTTTACAGATGTACTCTGGCCTGCCGACAAGGATTTCGATGTTGAAGCCTGAGCGAGAATATAAATTATATCAACTGGTAAGAGAACGGGAAGATTTTGACATCATGAATTAACCATGTTTTAAGCCACACAAAGCTTATCATCTGAAATAATAAACACATACAGAGCTTTCCGCTATTCTAAATATGATGGGAACTAGCCAATAGAAAGTTACAAGAAAAATTAGCAATGATAGTTCATATGTAAGTTTTTACGTGTGTTGGTACTTGACTACTAGGTAGATATGTATTTATATATATATACACGTATGTATATAAAAATATATTATAAAATTAGGAACTACATAAAATCACAATGTGTCAAGACCTCTGAAACCTGCATCCTTGTCCTTAATTATATATAATTATTTCAGTTTTGGAAATATAGAGGTGCTAAAGACCTCGCGCCATTCAACAACACCATACAGCCATGTCAATGTTGCACAGATAAAGATTAACCGAAAACGAATAATCTGTCATGCACAAAGAATCTTTCTCGGCACTGAGTAGTTCTAATAAACTAGATCAGCAATTTATCATAAACAACCATTTAATCATATGAACTCAGAAAAGAATTGTGTAGTTATGCACCATCTAAAACTAGTAATGAAGGAAGGAATCCTTGCTAGACTGTGTCCTCACTGTATATGCATGCATCTGGACATACACCGTTAAAGGCGTGCCTAGGCTCCAAAAAGGGCCCAGGGTCGTCAAGGTTCAGCTAGAGCGTCTTAACCTAGTACAGGCCATGCCTCTTCAACCAATTTCACATAAAGCTGTAACGACCCTCACCCTGGCCAGACACAATATTGTCCGCTTTTGGCCCACCCAGACCAGAGACTTCCCAGGGGGTCACCCATCCTGGTACTACTCCAAGTTAAGCACGCTTAATTACAGAGTTCTGATGAGTTCACGGCCATCATGGCTTTAAAATGCGTTGTGTCATAGAAGGGTGTTGAATCTACATATAGCACTTGCCCCATCCACACCCAGACGATGTGGGATTGTCCACCTGTAGCTCGCCCAGTGTGGTAGCCTACTGGTGCCCCCTGCACACGCTCACACACACCCGCCCACAAGGTCGCCACAATCACCCCCCTTTGGGGCCCAACGTCCTCGTTGGCCACACTTCCGGCTGGGTCAGGCTCTGATACCATTTGTAACGACCCTCACCCTGGCCAGACACAATATTGTCCGCTTTTGGCTCACCCAGACCAGAGACTTTCCAGGGGGTCACCCATCCTGGTACTACTCCAAATTAAGCACGCTTAACTACAGAATTCTGATGGGTTCACGGCCATCACGGCTTTAAAACGCGTTGTGTCATAGAAGGGTGTTGAATCTACATATAGCACTTGCCCCATCCACACCCAGACGATGTGGGATTGTGCACCTGTAGCTCGCCCGGTGTGGTAGCCTACTGGTGCCCCCTGCACACACTCACACACACCCGCCCACAAGGTCGCCACAAAAGCCCTCAGGCTTGTGCTTTTTAATAGGCTTCAATCTCAAAAAAGGCATGCCTTATATTTTCTAATTATTTATTCATATCATTTTTTTAGTTAATGACTATTAAATTAAAATGAGAATGTTAAGATGGATGAGTGGAGTGAAGTGACTAGAAGGGATAGGGTCACTAATGAAAGTGTAAGAAAAAATAGGGTAGCACCCATTGGTGATAAAATCCAAGAGAGTAGACAAAGATGGTTTGGGCATGTACATCAGAAACCTAGGGACACACCGGTCAAACGAGGAAGACTAGTTATAATAGAAGAGACGAAAAGGGCGACCAAAAATAACATGGGATAAGGTTATTAAAAATAATTTTTAAAAGTTAAATATAGTGGATGAAATGACATGTAATAGAATAGCTTGGAGAGAGAAGTCATGTGGTCGACCTCATTCATATGGAATTAAGACAAGGATCATGATAACGATGATGACAACAACTACTAAATTAAAATGTTCTATATCATAGATTGATTCTGAATATACCTGATTATATATGTTTAAATTTTGTATGATTATAGTTTTTTCTTGTTTCAGATTTTGTAATCACATTTAATTTTTTTAATGCATATGCATGAAAGGATTTTTGAGCAAATATCAAAAATATAATTATAAGAGATTTTTATATTTGTGTCGCATATATTGAAATGTTTCTCTTGTGAAAAAAAGCCACGAACAGAGAAACAATCACAAAAGATGACAAAAACAAGCACCACACAAGACAAAGATTTGCGTGATTCAACACAAGTTGTGCCTATGCCGACGATAAAGATCCGGCGAAGATTTTACTATGCGAAAATCAAAAGCTTACAAGTTTCAGCCCTCAAACCCTAGCTCTCACTCTCACACTATGTTCTGTGATTTTCAGTGTTCTCTCGTTATACCACTCCAAATCCTAAGTGACCTTATATATCATGCTACAAGAGAGTACCAAACAAGGTTCACGACCCACACAAAGCTCACATTCGGGTCACTCAACATCACAGTTCCAATTGTACATTTATTGAATTTATATGCAAATAGAAAATTTAACTAATCCACTGAATTGATATGCAGAAAAAAATCTTTATTTTGATATTGACAAGTTTGTATTGCATATTTAATTAATATGCACTGTTATCACACAAGTACCTTAGTTCGATTAGGCTTGCGCCTTCTATTGTGCCTTGCGCTTAGGCTCTATCAGACCTTTGGCGCCTAGTACGCATTCATCCTTTATCAACTATGCATAGACAATTATACGCACTGACATATAATGAATGATGTGCAAACAGAAATCCATATTCAATATATATTTAATCTCAAAGGGCTGAACCAAGCCATGCAATGGATTCATGGGGTAAATAAAAAAGAATATAAAATGAATTGCTAGATACTTAAACAAGTTCATCATATTACGTAATATAAAGCAAAATTGCTTCAAAGTGAAGCACAAGGAAGTGAACCTTATTCAAGGCAGAGCGTTCTAGGAAAGGTGGACGTCTTCCAAGCTGAGAATGGGACTGATCTAGAACACGAAAACATCCAGCGCGCCTTATGTCCCAAAAACGTATCGCACCATCACATCCACCAGTTATCAAAACCCACTCACTAGATGTGGACCACTCCACTGTCATTACACCATCTGCCAACACAAAAAGAGATATAAGGTAAAAATGAGCTAAATGCATGGCAAAGTTTTGATATATCTCACAACCATTAAAATAAAGAAATTAATTTGGTTCAATTCATGTCAAGTCAAATATAGAGAGAAAAAAAATAACAATTCAAGTCAAACAAATCAAGCACAAATATATTCACATTAACCCAAGAACTTCTATTTTATACGAGCCACAAGATACAAAAAACCCAAAATATTCCTTATCACATCCAAGTAAAAGACGATATCAACAATTGTTTGTGTCATGCGTGTGTGTGTGTGTGTGTGTGTGTGTGAGAGAGAGAGAGAGAGAGAGAGAGAGCATATATTTTTTATAACTTCTAAAAATTTTAGAATGAGAATTGGAAATACATAATTGAAGAGTTGATGAAGGAACTGGCTAATGTAATTGGGATCTGGGCCATAGCAAATAGTGTGTTATGGCCCTCCATCCAAAATTTCAAATGTTAGGAAACTTAAGGATTATTCAGAACAAGGGGGAGAAAAGCAATTAGGGCCTTTCAAGAAACCTGCTGCTCTACATTCCTTTAATCTACCATTACAATTGTTCCTATCCTTAAACAGTTTAAATTAGTTAATAGTTGCGCATCTAAGGGGAGCATGATGCTCAAATTCGGAAGGAGACATAACTTCATCTCAGCTCCCCATCAAGTACCACAACTGCTATTGGACATAAGTCATGGAGTCTAAATTTCAGTACAATAGCTAAAGTGATGCTTATGTGCCATGAATAAAACTATGTCCCTAGTGAGTTGATAAAACACAGGTGTAACCCATTACCACGATGACCAGACAGTGTGTGAGCAAATGCCCCTGAAGCAATATCGCAAAGGCGAACTTGAACATCTTCAGTACCAGCAGCAACCAGCATATGAGTTGTCGCAAGTGGAGACATAGCAGTCCTATAAACCTTTCCAGGCATTTTAAAATTCATTACCACCTATCAAATAAAACCCAAAAAAATTAAATAAATCAATAATCAAAACCACATTCAGGAATCAAAAATGATATACTAGACTATAGACCATGACAAGAAAGACCATCAAAACCACCCACCTGTGTGGTATTTGTGTCCCAAACATTGATGTAATGATCATATGAACCTGTGATGAACAGCCCAGTGTCAATGGGGTACCATATGGCTGAAGATATGGCATATTTGTGCCCGTCTTGGTGTTGCTTATCCACCACAAATATGGACTTGTGCTTCGAAACCAAACCACACCTATCATTTTCCGTTGCACGCTGTATATCATAAACAGCAACCGATGCATCCGACGCACCGGATAATAGATACCGTCCCTCTGTCAAATCAACCTGATTTCGTGATCAAAACAGGTCGCCCCAAAAATTCCTCAACAAAATGTAAACTCTATATACACAGGATTCAACAATATACAAATCAATGGTGAAGTGTATTAAACGAGTATGATATACAATAAAACAAATGATTGAAATTCAACTATACACAGATAAATGGCGAAGTGTATCAAACGAGTTTGATATACAATAACACAAACGATTGAATTGATTGAAATTCAAGTATATACAAATAAACGGCGTAGTGTATCAAACGACTATAATATGCAATATAAGCAATGATTGAATGGTAATTGAAATCGAAAAGTGAGACAGAGAGACAGAAACCTGAAGAGAGTTAATGGAGCCTCGGTGAGGAGAGACGATTTCTTTGTGATTAGAGAGTTGGAGAGAAGCGATTCGATTCGATTTGATGCGACTGGTGAAAGAATTAGGGCGAAGTTTTCCCGATTCTCTATCTCCGATCTCCTTCCACATTGTCCACGCATCTTCGACCGCCAATATCACTTCCAATCTGGCGCGATTCTGAGAGCATTCAATTCAACAGATATACATACATATATATATATATGTGTGTGTATATTCAGAGAGAGAAATGTTCAAAAATGACCAATCACAACTGATGGATAAAACCAGAAGGAACCCAGAAATTAAGTCCGAATTTGTTTTTCTTCTTCTTCGTCTTCAGTGTTGTTTCCTGGGAAAATGTGGTGAGGATACAGACAAAGCAGCCCTAGCAGCTAGGCCCAAATAATCCAAAGCCCATAGGCCTTTCGGCCAGAATTTGGATAATCTACATTTTATTTTTTCATTTTTATATATTTTTTCCCTGTCTGAATTACATCCTTTTTCAGAAAAATAAAATCAAATAAAAATAAACAAAGAAATTAAATCCTTTTTCCTTATATATATATATAAATGATAAATACAAGTGTAATCCCACTAATTATACTACATATATAACGAAGTAGAGACTCTCAAGTTGCTTTGAACCCTATAACAGATTTGTTGGTATAGTCAACAGTAAAAAATTAGATTTATATATATATATAAATTTAATTTTGATCAATTTTTAAAGATATTATGAATCTAAATATAATCATTAATATAATATACGAATTCATTTCACAAAATATAAAACAAGTATCTTTAGTCATCATTTAATAGATTTTGAACTTTTCTTAATAATTACTATAATGTAGTATTATATTATAATTATTATTTTAAGAAGTTACATTTAAAGGTTAAAAATTTATTTTAAATGTATATGGATACATGGTCGAAGTATCTGAAAAAGTGTCGGATTAATTATATACAAATTATGAATACGTTCAAGGAATATAATATCAAAGAAGTATTGAATTGGACATGTATTTATATGTCGCCCTTGTAGAATTATTTGTGCCTTCTTAGTTACTATTAGTTTTATCAATGCATTAACCCTTAGCTGCGTTAATTTTTACATTTTAAGAACCCCTCTACTACACTTCCACCTAAGTTACTCTTTAATTCTTGATACGCATATACACATCATAGGTCCACGAGACATTGCTTGGGCCAAAAGGTGCGGTGCTTATCCCCTTTTCGTATGCCATTATTCAATAACTTAGTTGGTAAAGTGTTCAACTCACTAAACGAATGTAAATATGTTCGAGTTTCCTTCCCTAGTTTACTCGATAGATAGATAGATAGATATAAATGCTACTTCTCCATTGTGGGCCAAAAAAACAAATGGGAGTTGGTGGTAGATGGTGAGTAGTAGGGTGGCATTAAGTCAACCAATACTAATAAGAAATTTATTGTTGGTATAGTCAATTTCTTTAGTTAGACATGAGCTTTTGTTGCAATTAGTGAAAGTCGCCCCAATAAATCTTGGTTTTTTATCCCTCTCATTTGGAATCAAATAATGTGATTGTAGCTAACATTGCTCACTAAAAAACTATCCTACTATTATACGAGTCACAATCGTATTTGTATTAATTGCACGTCATCAATTAATTTGGGGGTGACTTTCACAATAGTCTCCTCACCATGTCACAATCGTCACAGTTGAGAATCCAACCAAAATTATATACTTGTCGGCAATAACATTTAATTTTCAGGTATGATGAAAGTGGTCTCCTATGAAGGTGTTTATGAATCCATCTCAATATGTTAAAACATCAAGTGAGAAATGTTGGGAAATAATGGAATCAAAATATAATATGATGGAAGTAAATAATGTGAGAAAAATAATCACACAATAATATAAGGATTTACGTGGTTCAACATAATTATTTTGCCTACGTTCATGGAGCACATTGAAATATTCACTATCCACAATAATAATGGATGTTTACAAAAAAAAAAATAAAAAAAAAATAATAATAAATAGATTTATATAATCTACTCTTTGTCTTACAATCCCTAATATATAACTCTCTCCACAATATGTCACAACTCCATGCAGTTGATACAAAATCTAATATTTATGTGGAAACAACTTACTACCCAAGCCCTGCCTTGGGAGTTCCTAGTGCCAATAAAAAATAAAATAAAATAAAATAAAAAAAACTTACTCCCCAAGTCTTGAGCTTTTTGAAATAAATCTTCAATTTGGGAAACAAATCTAGCACCTTCTTATTTACGTTGATCGAACTGGTTATGTTTCGATTGATTAAAAGGGATCAAAGTTCGAGTCGGGATCTCAAAGATAAACTCTGTCGATTAAAGTGGAAACTGGGTTGGGCGATCAATCGAGACGAGACAACAGTACTTTCATCAAAACTTGTAATTTATGTTTCACAATCTCAATAAGAAAAACTCACGATGTTGTCTGTTCATCACTCACTATTAATAAGTATAGTAAATTTTGTTATTAAAATAGTGTAAAATCCTGTGAATTTTACATGTTAAAGAAATTAAAATCACCCACGTATACACATAGTTGCACGAGATTGCACGAGATTCAAATCATGGAAAATAAAAATGATGGCACAAGATTTAGAAGCCATTACTGCACCCATTCAAAGTCATCAATTTTTCTAGTTGATAATGAAATTAGTGCGCGCGCGCGCGAGAGAGAGAGAGAGCATCTCCAAAGCCTAGTGAATTTTTTACTCGTAAAAGTAAATAAAGTTCTTGAAGTTTCAACACGCCCACTTAATTGACTCACACTACATTTTTTTTTTCCTTTTTTTTTTATATAAGCAAGTATTATTATTAAATTAAGCTATTTGTTTAAACTAAATTAAAATGAAATGCAGCATACAATGAACCTCAGTCCTTTTCCATTTAATTTTTTCTTACTCTTTTATTCAAGAAAAATGGTATATATTTATAAAATTAGGCCTTTTTTGGCATGCGTTTTATTTTTGTTATTTTTGTTTTGGGACTATTATAATGTTGATTTTGGCAATAAAAATATGTTTAGTGTGGCCTTATTTTATTTTACATAATGTTAAAATATTTCGTAAACAGTGGCTCAAACCATAACACCAAAAAAAAATTTATTCATGTTTTGATAACTGTTCATGACCATAACAGTGCGCAACACGAGACTTAAGTTTCCATAGCAAAAAATCGTTTCCAAACATGCTTCTAATTTTTTTTTTCAAAATATTTCTATAATAAAAATATTATTTTTATTTTAATCAAAAATAAAACGTATGCCAAATAATCCAACGTTACAATTATTTGTGATCTTAGAAATTTAAGCCTGCAGTCACGTGTCTCTTGGTTTTTGGATGGTGATTGGTGAGAATCTTTCGGTGCTCTAACAGTATCCTTGAGCTCTGTGCGCATTTGAGAGTCACTGGTTTGGGTTCGGAAAAGGCCGACGGAAAAGACAAAAAAGGCCAATTACATTAGTCAAAAAGATGGTAGTCCTTAAGAAACTACCATTACTCTTATCATTACCATGAGCAATACTTTTTAGTAGTTTTTTTTTTTCTTTTTTTTTTTTTCTTTTCTAAAAGAAAATTTTACTTGCCATCATGATGTCTATTTCAGTTTAAAGTTTAAACCATGGAAGTAGATGTAATAATGAATATAAAATATGAAATACAATATTTTTATTTTATTTTTTGTTTGGTAATACTTACACACCCTCTCTTCGTTTTGGATAAACACGAGAAAAAAGAAAATAAATGATAACATTAGTTTATATTTGTGTTTGGTTAAATTACGAAGGAGAAGAAAAAAAAATGAAATGCGAGTATTCTTCTTTGGAATAAGATGAAACTCAAGGGTCATAAAAAATGAAATGAGAGTATTCTTCTTTGAAGGTAGTTTCGAAATTATGAAAGTATTACTTAAATCTTTTCATTTTTGAGAAAATAGTTTTGTGGGGATAATTATCCTCAAATCTCTCGTAATCCTTTATTTTTTCTCCATTTTAAACAACCTAAACACACTCACTTCACACTATCATTTCATTTTTTTTTTTTTTTTTTTTTTTTTTTTGTCTTTTCAAATCATTCAATCCAAACGGACCATTAATGACATGAGGCTTACACCTTATTTTATTTTTATTTTTTTGTGAAGAGGAGATGTTATACCATTTAAATCAATACCTTAATGGTATGAAATAGATGATCAAATATTTGTTCTGTTTTAGACAAATTAAATGAATAAACTCGCCCAACTCCTATAATTGTATGTCAAATAGGGCAAGCCCTCACTCTTTATACATTGTGAAATCTCACATTTTTAAAATCTCAAATAAAGTGGGAGTATACGTTTTTCTTTTTTAATACCTTCTCCATTATTCTAATAATTGAATGTAGGAGACATTCATATTTTTAAGCGAGAAAGACTTTCTTGCATATTTAATACTTCGTTGTCTGTGCCATCAACCAATTGTATCATGTTACATAAGTAAAAGTATTTTATTTTAGTAGGATCTATCACTACATGTCAGCATTTAATAAGTTGATAATTTCATATTATCAATATAAGTAGCACAATTAAAATTTTCTCGTTTAAAGTGAAACTTGAACCCTCCATCTTTTATTAGAAAATTGAGGTTCAAACAAGGTTTGCAGTATCGATCATGGTCGTGATATGGGTCGCGGTGTAACGGATTCGGACAAGTCAGTATAAACTAGTTGATACGAGTCGTGTATCGAATTTAAAAAAAGATCGTATATCGGCCGATACGTCATGTATCTAACGATACCACGAATCATGGTTTCAAATAGGATCAAAATTTAGGAGCTTAAGGAGAATAGTGAAAGGTGGATTGTTTTTGTTGATTCTCTTTCTTTTCTGGTGACAATTTCCAACAAAGGGTAATGTGATCATTTAAAATTAGAGTCAGCACAGCATAAGCCACAACACACTTTTCAAACTCAGGCTACTTTTTTCTTTGAATTCAAAAACCAAATGGAATACAGCTTTTAAGTATGGTAATAAGGCACTGGGCAATACCAATAGTGAATATTCTAGTTTCATAATTTGGCTCATTAAATAAATTTTTACTCCTATTTGTAAAAATTTCTAAAATGTAGGTCAAATACAACTAAAAGTTAAAATTTAAAATTAAAAACATTTTTAACCATTCCGACTGCAGTGCCAAACATGCTCATTTTTCTAATTTATTTTTTCCTTACCAAAATAGAAAAAAAATTAATTATAGTTCTTATTTTTCTTTTCTCTGGGTATGACTATTTCTTTTATACAAGTCCACACACTATAAAATATTGTACCATTAGGTTGGTAACAAATTAAGTAGTTTTGCATGTGCATACACCTTTATTTGCATTTAAATAGTTAAATGCAAACCAAACTAGTTGTATAACTTAAATAGTCGTATTTTTAGACTTCAAGGACAAATATGTCCTATAATTTTTTTAATAAAAATATATTGTCCTACATTTGAGAAATATTTTCAAATTCTGTCAATAATAAACTTCTTTTTCTTTTTTCTTTTTTTTTCTTTTTTCCAGTGTCACGCATTATTATCAAATTAATAACAATACCCTTTCCTCAATAAAATACCAATTATGATCCTTCTAATATTTTGTAAGTCACACCTAAATAGTTAGTTAATTCGCGTATGATACGCGAATTAAACGCGTACGTATGAATTTTAAAAAAATACTCCCATTTGTCAATCAGAGTTGAAAAATACAGTAAAATACGCATTTTTTTTTCATCACCCCGTATTTAACGCGTTTATTCGTTTATTCATTTTGGTTGTTTCGTTTAATTCATAACCTAATTATTATTTTTTTTCGTTTACGAACTTCACGTTTCTAATAGCGTATTTTTCTAAAACACAAACTATTGTCTTTTTTACCCTCTTTTGCTTGGTATAGCCATTATTTTTTAAATCATCAAAATAATGTTATTTGTTGTGCAAACTATTGTCTTTTCTACCCTCGTTTGCTTGGTATAGCCATTATCTTTCAAGTTATTAAAATAATGTTATTTGTTATGCAATCTCTTATTGTTGTCACTCCAATTATGATCTTTAATTAAAGCAATGAAATATATATATATGAGTAATGATCTCTTGCTCCCCATGGAGTAAGAAAATTTATCCGCACTTTCTATTGAGACCATTAGATCTAATCTAACGTTCACTATAAAAACCCACATATATTCTTTCCTTTTAATACAAAACCAGTATCACTATTTCTAGTTTCCAAATTTAACATTTACCAAACCACTAATTACAATAATAAAAGGTAATTATTCAAAAATATATATATAGAAAACTCTTCACCTCTGAAAATAACGTCTCTTTCAAACAAAGACCTACAAGAGTACTTTTTCTTTCTCTATACAAATTGAATTTAGTACTTTCTCTTTCTCCATACAAATTGAATTTGCAAGTTCTCTACCGCCTTTGTCTCCTTATAATCATAAGTAAATAAAAATGAATCATAATTAAAATTTAATGGATTAAAATAAATTTTTTTATTATTTTTTTTTCTTGTCTCTTGTAATTTTTTGTTTGAGAGAGACGTGATTTCCATAGAAGAAGAGGTTTCAATTTTTTTTGGGAGTAATTGCCTTTTATTATTGTAATTAGTGGTATGTAAATATTAAATTTAGAAATTATAAATAGTAACAATGGTTTTATATTAAAAGGAAATGATGTAAGGAGGTTTCTATAATAATCGTTAGATTAGATCAAATGATCACTATAAAAAGTGCGGATGAATTTTCTTGCTCCATAGGGAGCAAGAGATTATTACTCATATATATATATATATATATATATATATATATATATATTTTAAATTTTGTTAATATCTTTATTATTATTATTATTTTAAAAGTTTTGTTTTAGTAGAATATCTCATTATATACTTAAGAATTTTTTTTTTTTAATGATTATTGTGATAGTGTCAATTATAATATATTTATTTTATTATTTGTTACATATTTTTTATTGTCCTTACAAATATATGCATATAAGAAAATAATAAGATGTGTATAGCCGAATTTTTGATCCCGAATTTTTAGAGTATATAACGTATTATATATGTACGTATCCGTATTCGTATTTTTACGTCTCCATATTTTTTTGTCGAATTTTATAAACGTATTTTAAAAAAAATATGAAATTATACGTTTCTGTACCCGTATTTTTTCTATTTTACTAACTATGATACCTATTTAGAAAAAAAAAAAAAAAAAAATACTAATTGTTACCAAAACTATAGATTGCTTGAATTATCTATCAATAATTGCTAACAAAAAATGGAAATTTCAATGAAGATTTATTTGACTTTGTTTCATTTTTCTTAATTTTTTTTTTGATATCCTTTTCAAAATTTATTGGGATTATGGTAATTTTGTAATAAATTATCATCTACCTCCGTGGATAAATTCTCGATCAGCTTTGGGAATTTTTGGGATATAGACACCATTAGTGTGCGTGACTATGATACCTTTTTTTTGTTTACATTCTTACCATCATCGATGTAAAGATGAAAGTAAAATACTAATTTTGGTTATAGTTTTTTTCTTCTTTTGTGTGTTTTACGCTCTTAACTTCATGGATGCAAACATAAAAATTTAGAAGATAATTTTAGAAAATAAAAATTTTAGAGGGAGCATTATAATTTTTTTTTTTTGTATAAATATAAAATTAAAATAAAATTACTATATTTTATAATGGCGGGTAGGCCGGGGCCATATGCCCCCGGGCCCACGCTAGCTCCCCCCTAGTTCTGCTCATTCATTTCCCTAAAATAATATTTGAAATTCTTTAGTTCAAAATATTAGACATGGCTCTTTCATAGAGAACAACAAGAAAAAAAAAAAAAAAAATGCTAGATCATGGGCCGCGGAAGTACCTGTGCAATAAAATAGGAAATATGTAATTTATATATAAGATAAGAAAATAAAAAGGGAAAGTAATTTTTATATAAGATAAAAGAAATAAAAAGAAAAAATCAAAATAAATAAATAAATGACTAACAAAATAGTTGCCAGTCTTTCAAAATAAAAATCATGAAATTCAATCCATAATGTTTATTATTTATTCTTTCTTTAATATAACATGAATTTGGAATTCTTAAAATCATTTAATTCAGTCATGTCTTTTTGCACAAGTGTTTCGACGGCTATTAGTTAAATACTGACTGACATGGTATATGAAAAGAGTAAAAGATATTTGTATTATTTATAAAGCCTTGTTGGAAATATTTATCAGAAGTATGATGCCTTGTGAAAATTTAATAGAAGTTATTTGTAATTGTTTTTAGATGCAAAAGTGGTAATTTTTACTTTTTCTTTTCTTTTTCATTAGTAAACAAGGCACCAAGATTTATTTTAGAATAATGCACTCCTCTAAGAGAAATGGACATAGCCCAAGACAACTTAAAATTTACATTCTCCCCGTCTTTGCGATCAGACCACCTTGCCTATCCGGATGTTACACCCGGATACCTCCGGATCGGCACTGGCTATGATACCAACGATAACGAATGGGTGTTTCGTGATCCAACCAAAAAACCTAAGTTATTAAAGCCCCGTTTGGAATTGCTTCTCTACTACTTAAAAGTGTTTTTATTTTCAAAAAAATGTGTTTAAATGTGTTTAGTAACTATTACAAGTGTTTTGAATGGTTACCAAATTTACTTCACTAGACCGTTTGAATTAAACTAGAATTTTGAGCTTCTAAAGCTGCGTTCTGAGCGGAGGTTGAATATTTTAGGTAACTCTTTTACATCAGACATTTTTTTTCTTTTAATTTTTTATAAAGACAATTACACCCCTTTCCTTAATAAAGTTACTATTATCAAATATAGTAACATAACTTTAAAGGATATTATTGTAAAATTAGTAACAAAATTGTTTTAAAAAAATTCTTACCAAATAAATTAAAATTTAATTTAATTGTAAAAAATATTTATTATATTGTGTCATCAAACACCTAACTTGATAAAAACGTTTTTTTATTCCAAGAACAACCCTCAAACGGCCTCTAAGTAGACTAACATCTAATCATATATACTCAATCACTCTCTCGCCAAGATTTAATGGGGAACAAACTTCCCCTTATTACAATTATCTATTGGAATTGCTAAAACACCAATCGGGCATCGTGGCATTACTCCTAAATAAAATTTTCTTTCAATTATTTTATCTATATCTATTTCTATAATATATTTGTCACACATGAATTTCAAAATTTGACATTTAATAGTAGTGGTTGCTTAGACTACTATTGGTTACTTGAATAACTGTGATTATACTATTTTTTATTGACAAGTTCTAAAAATAAAATTGGTTATTTGTATTTAAATGAGTTCATTTCGAGGATGTCCTACACTCCAACCTCTAAAACCCGTCCCATTATAGTGGGACATTAATAGATTTGTAAACCAGCAAAACAACAAAACTCAAATCATAATAGAGAAAACAGAGAATCTATGAACAGCTGCGACCCAGCAACCACCTTTGCCCCATCCTCGCATGTGCCACGCTCTCTCTACCTTCAAAAGTCAGCATATAAAACTACAAAAAATAGGAGTTAAAAAAAAAAAAAACTTCAAATTGGCCCATCAAACTCAGATCTCCAAACCCAATTCAAATTCTTTGTTTTCACATCACGTACACATCATTTGGCTCTGCGCGAACCCAAAAACTGAGTAAAAAGAAGAAATACTTCAATTAGAAGTTGCTTTCATGGCTATCACTATGTCTATTACTGATACATCAAAGCACAATGCCTATGGGGGGACTTTGGTTTTACGGTAAGTCCAAAGCTCTGGTCTCTTGTTCGTCTCGCCCTTTTCACCACCTGTTTGCTTTGTTTTCTTCTCTTCAACTTTATTGTTGTTCGTCTCTTTTAACTCTAGCTTTTTCCCCCAAAATTCCTTTTGATTCTTTGATGTTTGCGGGTTTTCTTGAGAATTCTCAACTTGGGGTTTTGTTATATAGATTCTATAATGTGGGTTTGTGATTAAAACCGGTTTTGTTTGTTTGGATTGGGCTATGTGGCATTGCAGATCTTCATTGTTGTTTTCTGATCTGAAAACAGCTTCCATTCTCTCATATGGTGGTACATTGTGTGAAGATTTACGTATTTTTAGTTTAGTTTAGTTACAGTAGTGTTCTTAAATTAGATTAGAGTCATTGTTTATGTATAAAGGCTTCAATGTGTCTTTGTTTTTGCAAATTGGTTCTGGGGTTTATGCCGACTCTATTTCCATTGATTTTCAGGTGTAGTGGCGACATAACTTTGTGAAAAGTGACTGTATCAGACTAATTTTAACAAAAAAGGAGATCATAATTGTACTGCTTTTTGGAGATGTTGTGCGCTTGTTCAGGAGAGCAATTCAAATTTGAAGAGCCGGAGCGGGAACCACAGTCGCCGGAGTCGCTGGCGACACGTGATTTCTCTGCGAGTGGCCTTTCATCGTCGAGGACAGGAGACTGGGATTCAAAATTTGAAGATGCCCAAGTGGATGAAGCTGAGTCCACACTAAAAGAGGCTCTTTCCTTAAATTATGAGGTGGGTTCATATGATTTTATTTATTTATTTATTTATTATTATTATTATTATTATTTTTCACAATAAACATTGCTTTGTTAGTTCTTTCACAGTTCTAGATTTCTAGTATTGGGTTTTGGATTAATTTGGTTTGTGTGAATTTTAGGAGGCTAGGGCTTTGTTGGGAAGGCTTGAATACCAAAGAGGGAACTTTGATGCTGCCCTTCAAGTGTTCCAGGGGATTGACATCAAAAGTATATTACCAAGGATGACAAAGGCCATAACCGAGAGAACTCGGCAGCGAAAGTCGCGTTCCAAAGGTGAAAATGTGCCAGTTGCTGTAATGTCACTGCATTCCGTGAGTCTGCTTCTCGAAGCAATCTTGCTCAAAGCAAAGTCATTGGAGGAGCTTGGCCGGATTAAAGGTATATCTGATCTCCTCCCATTTTACAGTTTATTTTGCTCTTATATCCTCTCAGTCGATCCAAACAATGCGACTTCTGAGTATGTTTACGTTTAAGGATGTTAGAATTCTTAAAAAAATTGTGAATTTATTGACGCATTTACCAGATATATGGTTTGAAATGTAAAGCATTAGGATGAGTTGAACAGGTGTGATTGTTTACTTGTGTGATTTTTGATATCTCAAACACTGATGGTTTTTTCCAATACTATTTTTGATATAAAAGAGTAATGGATTTAACAACTGGTGATTGCAATGCGTGTGTTGAAATAGTTGGATGTGTTGTATTCCTGGGTTGAAATTGTTCGACTTATTAAGATGCTTTGTTTTAAATTTGTCAGAGGCGGCAAGACAGTGCAAGATCATTATAGATACGGTTGAATCAGCACTACCTAATGGAATGCCTGAGGGGATTGGTGACGACTGCAAGCTGCAGGAGATGTTCCACAAAGCATTAGAGTTGCTTCCTAAGATGTGGATACAGGTAGGCTTTCTTGATGAAGCAATCTCAGCATATCGACGTGTTCTAGTCAAGCCGTGGGGTTTGGATTCCCAAAGGTTGGCCAGTGTACAAAAAGACTTAGCTGCCACGTTACTTTACTGTGGTGTTGAAGCAAGCCTTCCCCCTCAGTTACAAGTATGGGGTCCATCGACCCCTAAAAGTAACATAGAGGAAGCAACCCTTTTGTTGTTCATACTCATGAGAAAGGTGCTACATGGTGAAATAGAGTGGGATCCAGAAATTATGGATCATCTGACTTTTGCACTTTCAGTGTCTGGGCATTTTGAAGCTTTAGCAGATCATGTGGAACAGGTCCTTCCGGGTACCTATAACCGAGCCGAGAGGTGGTACTTTCTTGCCCTTTGTTTCAGTGCTGCAGGTCAGAATGATGCAGCATTGAGCCTTCTAAAGAAGGTTTCGGGGTGTTCAGAAGCAGGTCAAAATCCTCATTTCCCTTCTTTTTTGTTGGGAGCGAAATTATGTTCTCAAGATGCAAAGCATGCTCATGAGGGGATAAAGTTTGCTCGGAGAGTGATAGATTTAGCAAATAATCGAAATGAACATTTCATGGGTCAGGCTCATAGATTCCTTGGTGTTTGTTACGGGAGTGCAGCCAGAGTTTCGTTTCAAGATTCTGAAAGAGGTTTCTTTCATAAAGAATCTTTGAACTCTTTAAACCATGCTGCTCAAATTGGTAAGGAGGATCCAGAGGTAGTGTTTAATCTTGGGTCGGAGAACTTCCTACAAAGGAATCTGGTTGCAGCCTTCGATAATGTAATGTTATACTCTGATATGGTGGCTGGAAGCTCAGTAAAAGGTTGGAAGCTATTAGCTCTGGTAGTATCTGCAGAGCAAAAATTCAAAGATGCTGAAACAATAGTTGATCTTGCTTTGGATGAGAATGGGCGGATTGACCAGTTAGAACTTCTTAGGCTTAAAGCTGTGCTTCAAATTGCTCAAGAACAGCCCAAGCAAGCAATTGAGACCTACAGAGTTTTGCTATCTCTAATTCAAGCACAAAGAGAACGTCAAACTGAGGACTTCAACTATGAGGTACCTATGATCTTAACTTGCTCCAAGATATTTTATACATTTCCGATGTTTGTGATGAAGGCCATATGATTAAAGCTTTGGCATGCTTCAACATTTTTATTAAAATATATATATAAACTTTTTTGTTTCCTGGATAGGCCCTAGCAATTGTATATGGATCACATGGCACTATTAGATATTTGCTGTAACCCCTTGTCTACCTTTACTGACTTCTTATGTGAAATAGAGGGAAAATTTTCAATTTTCTACTAGATCATTCCAACCAAAATTTAATCGATATTGGAAGTGAGATTTTGTCCAATTTTTCTTTTCTTCTAAACAGGTTTTGGCAGAAAGAAAATTAGAAATGGAAGCTTGGCAAGATTTGGCTAAGATCTACACAGACCTTGAATCGTTGCTCGATGCACAAATTTGTGTGGACAAAGCCAAGGCAATTGATTTTTATTCCCCCAGAAGTTGGCATACAACAGGTCTGAATGCAATCCTCTTCATTGTGGTTTTCTATAGAGCTTACAAGGGGAAAAAAAAAAAAAAAAAAAATGAAGAAGAAGAAGAAGAATAACATAATTTTTTTTTTAAAATCTTTGAGACCTAGAGCTTTTATCTAACTTATCCATTCATTTTATATAATTATACTGAACTTATTTGCAGGCATGTTGTTTAAATCTCAAGCACAATACAAGGAAGCCCTAGTTGCCTTCTCTGTTTCACTCTCAATAGAACCAGATTATGTTCCCGGTATTGTTTCAACCGCAGAAGTATTACTGAATATGAGTAGTCAATCGATTCCAATAGCAAGAAGTTTCTTAATGAATGCTCTGCGTTTAGAACCCACGAACCATGATGCTTGGTTTAACCTTGGATTGATTGCTAAGATGGAAGGCTCGATACAGCAAGCAGCAGACATTTTCCAAGCTGCACACGAGCTCAAGATGTCAGCACCTGTTCAAAGCTTCGTATGAGACGTCATTTTAAGCAATTAGCTCGAAAATGACACCGTGAAGTACAACTTAGAGCATTGCCTTCTCTCTGTAAGTTTTTGAATCTTGTAATTACATTCATTTGCCAAGGTTAGGGGCTTCTCAATGAATCAAAAGAAGATATTTAATAGGGAGGGAGACTAAATTTCGTGCCGGATGTGTTCTAAACATGTTAGGGTTCACTTTGCTTTGTTGTAATATTGTCTGTAGTGACCGGCACTGAATGGAATGAATTTGTTGATGGGAATATTTTGTTCCAAGTGTAATGTGCCACATTTATTCTTTCAGCTGCTTTTGCACGTATATGTGATTTGATACTGGTATAACACCTTCCTCTTTCACCGATTGCATGAAACTGAGAAATCATGATTTCGGTTCACGCCAAATTTGAACCAAAATTTATTTTACATTTTACTGCCAGCCATTTCCATTTTTTTTTTTTCAAGTTTGCCATATCTGGATAAAAGTAGTCAGTAATATGCAGGAAAGGAAATTGTAGCATCTCAAATAATTACTTGCATTAACTAAAAATTACATAAGAAGAAAATAGAATAATTTACATATAACTGTATGACTAGAACAAAGCTGGAGATGGTGATGGTTGTGGGGTGGGGGAAGAGCTCGTACGCCAAACTCCTGTACAACGATCAGGTCAGGTGAAGAAGAAGGAAGAGGAAGAAGCAAAGGTGAAACATTGGAGATACAAACATTTGCAACTTTATTATCTACTTGTGTTACATAATAATTCATTCTAGAGTAGCATACACCAAAGAAGCATTTGTGCGAGTCATCGACAGTCTGCTTCAGAAATGCTGACAACCAAAATGTTGAGATTATTCCAAATAACTGCACAAGAGAAAGTGATACAAGAAGTAAGAAGAAATAATGATAACCTAAACAAACTCTTCCCCACTCAATGCAGTGCCTACAACTACCTGTAAAATTGCAACTCTCCTGCTAAAGTCAGAAATCTTGGAGAAAGGACGAAAACCGCGTAGGCACAACGAATGTTATACACCAAAATTCTAGGATAATGCTGCAACAGTACGTACTAATGCTATTGCATTGAAGTCATGGTTCAATGAAAAAGATACACGTCCAATTCTGCTCTTATAGAGCCTAAAGATTCTAGAAAGATGAACATAGAATAATAACCCAGTACTTCCATATCAAAAGCAATGGTTTTTATTACTTTTAAAATTGCAATATATAAGAGCCCCAGAAAACTTCAAAGGGTCAACCAAAATCCTAACTATATAAAAGGGGAAAATGAGAAGCCATCACTTAATATTCCAATCAAAGAGACGCTACCTAGACACATAAAAGTATTCTCTAGTTTAACAGCAAGAACGTAGCACGGGGTCATCAAATTATCCAGTGTGGTTCCGTTAATGGGAAGGTGCTGGGAGGGGCAGATTTGATATGAAACTAACCTTTGGCATTATATATAGAAAGTGGCTGCTCTCGAGATTCGATCTTGCATTCTCCCTCCCCCCACCACCACAAAATATAGCTCTCGAGATGCAGGAAGTGAAATATTTACAGTTCTTGACATTAATTCTTTCACATTACTTAACATTGATGCCATCAATATTGCATGTAAGGTTGCAAAGATCCAAATTAACTCTTTCTAAATAAGGCAATTCAATCCAACTTCCTTGTAAAATTTGCAGCTAGATTAATTTTTTTATTTATAAAAAGGATAGAATTGGTAGTATAAAGATGACACCTCAAATTCCGAGAGTCGACGAGTTCACGTTTTGCTCTCTGTACTCAAGTACCATTTGCCCATATGAAGACCACATACTATTGCACTCACTATTATGAATAAGTTCAGATGGTAGCAAAAGCCAAACAAAACTCATTAGATGATTTATATGACAAGTTCGGTACAAGAGAGAGTGAACTAGCAATTTACAAATTGGCAAAAACTATATATAAATTGACTAGAGATATGGATCAAGTTATATGTATTAAGGACGTAATAAAATATATATATATATATATGTATCTCTATATATATAAATATACACATTAGTTAAAGAGGATGAATGGCAAGATTAGTTTCAACAACTTTTAAATGAGGAATACCCTAGGGAGGAAATTGAAAAAAGAAAGCTTAAGGAATGAAAGATAAAATCAACACAACGTGAAAAATGCGAAACAATAAAACGGTATGTTCGAATAACATCATTGTAGAAGCGTGGAGAATCTTAGGAAGGGTGGGGATTAATTATTTAATAGAGGTTTAGAAGAAGGCATGATTTCCCAATGAGTGAAGATATTCAAAATTTCTCCACGCTATTATTGAGTGATTAAATTAATAAGTCATACTATGGAATTATCGAAAAAGGTAATTGAACAAAGATTAAGGTAATAAGGTATAGTGTTTGATAATAAATTTAGAATTATACCAGAAACCTACTATAGTGGCCGTTTACATACTAAGGCAATTATTGGTAAACTGTAGAAGCAAACAAAAAGATTCACACATGATTTTTATAGGCTCGGAGAAGGCATATGATATAGTACAAAGAAATAGAATTAGTGGGATCTACTAAAAAACATATTCCAATAAGATCTTCTTTTTTTCATTGGCAAGAAACCCACACACCCATTTGCCCCTTTGGGGGACGAAAACCCTCACCATCCACCTTGGGAGGTAGAGGAGATACCACTAGGCTACAAGGCCCTTGGTATATTCCAATAAGATCATAGAACTTTTTCAGGATATGTATGACAATTCAAAAACTACAGTCCGTACTATATATAGGGAGACAAATGAATTCTTTATAAAAGTAGGATTACACCAAGGATTTGCAATAAGTCCATATTTATTCAAAATAATCTTAGATGAAATAACAAAAGACCTACAAGGAGACATCTATGGTACATGTTATTTGTTGAGTCATAGTGCTATTAGATAATTCGGGAAAAAAAGAAGAAGAAAGAGAAATGCAGTGGTGTCAAAAGGTTTAAAAAAATAATCGAACTAATACAGAATATATGAAATAAAAATTTAGTAATGCTATAGAAAATGATAATATAGTGATAACAATTCAAAACCAAAATATCACTTAAAGTTGATATCTAGGATCAATTATATAAAAAAGGACCAAAAATTTAATGATGATATAGGTAGTATCATTAGCATAGGGTGGAGAAAAAAGTGGAGACAAAGTAGTGGTGTTTTATGCGATAATGTATACCAAATAAGTAGAAAGTATATAGGATAGTAAAGTGTCTCCAGTGTTGAGCCTTCACAATGAAAACGAGAACAATGCATTCATGTAGCAAAAATGCGAATGTTGAAGTGGATGCTGGGAGTAACTATAAGAGATAAGGAGTGACGGCCATAAGTGAGAAAATACGAGAAACTACACATAAATGGCATGGACATATTCAACACAGACCTGTAGATGCTTTGGTGAAAAAAGGAAATTTTGGTTTACATAGATAATTAACATGGGATGAAGTAATAAGAAATAATCTTAAAAATTTAAATCTAATAGGATAAATGACTAATGACAGAAAAGAATGAAAAAAGAGAATCCATGTGGAAAATGAAACCGCTCAATCCCAATTTTTTTTTTTTGACCATTCAAGTAGAGTATCTGGATTAGGCATGAAGATTTTCACAATTTTTTGTTCCCGATCTCATTCAATTGGGATAAAGGCAATGATTACAAATATGATGATGAGAATAAATAATATCATTCATCGAACAACAGGCACTCATCCCTCTGAATAAACCAGTAACTTTTACACAGACAAATAATTTGGCTTCTAATTTGCACGATTTCCCAAACATATGTTGAAGAAAAAAATTCTTTGAAATTTTGAAGTTATCTAAGAGAAAATGTATTATGGTTGATTCTTTGTTATGATTGCAAAAGAGTAAGATTGTCAATATTTCAATTGAAGGAGCACATTTAGATAAATAACTAAAATGAGTATGAATTGATAAACTGCTAATAATATCTATTGAAAACGATTTTCATTGAAAGCAATTTCAAATATTTCTCTCAAGACCCTTCAGGTAGTTTCCTAAAACATTTTAGGCACACTCACCCTTCTAATAGAAAAGGGATTTGGTTGGTAGACAGACAACAAAAAAAATTCTCACATCATTTTCTTTTTCCTTTCTGAAATTAAAATTCATGGTCCCAAAGAAAAAATAAAATGATGTGAAATTCTCATGTGCAGCTAAAATTATTATTGTTTACCCTTTTTTTATAAAAAAAAAATTCATTATATTATGTTGCAATTTATAAAATTCAAAGTTTGCTTCCTTTTTTTGTTGATGACCATCCAAATGATAATGTACTAGAAATCAACTGAGAACATGAAATAGATCATTTTTGGAGTGCAATCCATCCAAATGATCAAAATAATGGTCTAGGTCACACAGTTTTTGAGCCAAATACAGAATGGAGTGGCGGTCATAATCTGAGACAAGATATCTTGATGAACGTTGAATGACATACTATGGTTAAAAACCAAATTATAAAATTTGTATTAACAAAAATAAGAGTAAGATGCCACATCTTGTATTAAATATGTAAAATACTAAACTTACAATAAAGGGTCGCAATTTAAATTAAGGAAAGCTGGACCTCATCCCATCTGCCACTGCATTCATATAACCAATAGAAGGGTCAAATTTATGCATAACGTTCTGAAATATACTCAACTTGTGCAATTGCATTTGAGTTTTGATTTAGAGCTCGAAGTAAGAGACAAATTGCATAACAAAAAGGTGAAATCAGAGTCTTTCAACCTTATAGATCAATGTCCCTAAACAATTATGATGAAAAGGTAATTGCCCAACAGCACCAATTATTATTAGGCAAGCAAAAGAAACATTAATTTTATCTATAATACCTTAAGAACCGGTTCACCCTTATTATTGTTTGCAGATTGCTTTGCAGCAGCTGCCATCTGTGCACGTGCGGCTCTTCCTGCAGCAGACTGTTCAAATTGCTCTTGCCTGCAATTAAGGTCATAAGTAAATGTTGAGCAACATAGCAGAGGTAACACTATAAACTTTTTCCTACCATTTCATTCTACAAGGATGGTTTCAAGTTCTAAAAATGGTAGCAAATACTTCTAATTCATACTAGGACATAACTGTACTAATAGAAGTGCTAGCCTCATTGTACCAACTGACCTGTGCATTGTTGCACACTCTCCTCACATTAACAAGCAAGCATTCAATAAATTAGGCGCAGTTCTTCCAGACCTTGCATTTGGTTGTTAACACATAATGTTAGATTAGTATATTATGATCTAATGACCAGAACACCAATATGTTCTGACTTTAAAATCATTAATTCTGACACTCCTTGAGACAGTAAAATTCAGATTGAATAAGTCAAATTAGAACATAGTTATTAAAGGCTCAAGGCACACTAAACAACAACGTCTCCTGGAGACTAAGCGCAAGGCACAATGTAAGTCGCCGCGCATGCATGATAAAAATGAATATTAAATGTAAATATAAAAAAAAAAAAAAATTAATCATGCAACAAAAACTAGTGAATATCAAATTAAAGGAAGTTTTCAACATATCAATTTAATAGATAGTTGTTTCAAAATAAATATATCTATCCGGTTTGCATATGATTTTAATTAAATCTATGTACAGTTGGATCGAAATCATCAAATCAGATTATGCATCAAATGCAATCAAAAGTTCTTGATTGAAGGGGCTTTAGAGCCTGAAGCCAGCTAATAAAAGGCACAAGCTTGAGGGTTTTATGTGAGCTTGGTTGAAGGGGCTTTGCCTATAATGAGTTGAGGTGCCCGTGTTGAGCCTAGGGCTTTATTAGAGCTTAGGCGAGCCTTTAATAACTATGAATTAGACATGATGTAAAGCTCAGAGCTCTGCATTTCATGCAGGATTTAGTTCCAATGCATAATCATCATTACCTTCCCATAATCTAAGGCCACAAATAATCTGTAAAACTGTGACATCCTCGTGACAGTCTTTCTCAATGTAAAAGGGGCCATTCGTACCCATTACTCGAGGGTGCTGAGAGGGACAAATTTGATACAGACCTAACCTTAACCTTAAAGATTTAATACGAAGAACATCTATACCAATCGAATAAATATAAGTAAATACCAAAATTTATTAGATTATAATTTTCCTGAAAATCTAAAATAAATCAAACAAACGAATACAATGAAAAATAAAAATTTGAATCATAACCACCACAGAATCCTAAATCGTCTATATTTCCTGAAATTGCATTATAGTTTCTCAGTACAAAATTACCTTCTACATAATAAGAATTTGATAATTCAACAATAATTTCTGGAAAAACACTGACAGACTCTGTAAATTTACTTTACCAGGGCTAAAAAAACACAGAATAAGACGGCGATAAGTGTGATTGAGAAATTGACAAGGACATAAATTCAATGAATTAAGAGTAAAAATGAAAATTAGCGATGGAAACGAAGTAAATCAAACATTAAAAATAATGAAATGGAAATTATGATGCGATGAATAATTAGAGAGAGAGAGAGAGAGAGAGAGAGATTGCCTCTTTTGGGCGGCTTCAGCAGCTTTAGCCCTAGCTTCTTGAGATTGAATCCGTTCTTCTTCCTTTCTCTGCTGCTTACCTCCATCGAAGCAAGCAAAGCACCCCATCGTTCCCTCCTCTTCTCTCTCTCTCCCCTCTCTCTCTAGATTGTCACCTTCTGATTTGACTTATTTGTATCATCATCGTCTGTTCAGATTAGTTCACGCGTATTCGAATAGTTTCATGTACAATTGTACAGAGGAACCCCAAACGCGTTAAACCGAACTTTTTATTCTTGGATAAATTACTGTCACATCTTTTCATTCAAAGACAAATAAATTTAAAATTTAAATTTTTTCATTAAATCAATAAGTCCTAATTTTGAAAATACATACGTACATATATATATATATATATATATATATATATAAAATATTTCGTTTACGTCCTAAATTACTAAATCTTTCATTCAAATTTCAGTATATACTATTTTTATATGTATATATATGATTTAAATAACAAGTAATTTAATTTAAATTCAAGTCTAAAACTTTTGTATAAGAATACACGATTTTGATACAAACATTAAAAATTCTTTAAGAAAATCAATGTAGTTTTTCTTTCTTATTCAAATATTTTGTCTAATTTTATAAGGAAGTTGTCTTATACTAAAATTTAGTACCTACTCACATAATTCATTTGGGTCAAATGCAAAAACCACTCGTGCTTACAATAGATATTGCACCCCTCTAGTACAAAAAACACCCATAAATTATGATATTTGTGCAAATAGATCCCATTTATAAAAATTGAACTAAAATGTCTTTAGTAACTTTAATATATATATATATATATATATATATATATGTATATATAAATTGTGAAATGACTAAAATATCTCTCAATTTATTGTAAATTTATAAATTATATATATATATACACACACATATATATATACACACATATATACACAGACATATATATACAGATACATATATATACACATATATACACAGACACACACCTGGTGAGGCAGGCTGAAAACATGGGTTTTAAAGAAGGAAAACAGCAATACTTTTGTGTCATGTACGAGTGAGTATTACACCCAATCATTTACGAGCTGATGAGTTTGAGAGTTGGCAAGGGATTTTCTGCATTCGAATTCGCTTCTTTTTTAGCGAATTGGTACCTAGATGCTATTCTTCCACAGTTAATGGATGGATTTTGCCTTCAAAAAAAAAAAAAAAAAAAAAAAAACCTGACAAGTACGGGGACATAGGAAGGATGTACAACTTGTTTGGCAGGGTGAGTATTGGACTCTCAATAATTAGAGATGTCATGACTTCTCACACTAGAGATACAGGTAAGCAGTTAATTATTGATCCAGAAAGGTTAAAGGATCCAGTAGACTTTGTGCAGCGGCTCTTGCATGAAAAGGACAAGTATGATAAGATTATCAGTTTGGCATTTAACTATGACAAGACATTCATTCCAGAATGCTTTGAATTCCTCATTTGTATATTTTATAAATTTGAATCCTCGGTCAGCAGAGTACATTTCCTTGTTTGTGGATGATAAGCTCAGGGATTTGGTATTTGATCAGAGAAGATCGGTTTGGCAGGGGATTTTTGATCCCAAAAAAAAATAAAAAAATGAGTATTATATTAATTGAGGGGTGTTATTGCACAAATTGAAAAGAATATGGATATTTTTTGCACACCTTTTTAAATAGGGGATAAAAGTGCTATGAAAAATATACTTCAGAGTATTTCTTGCATTTACCCCTAATTCATTCACAATAATGCACGATTAAATTAGTAAGAATAAATTTTATTTTTTAAAAAATCCATCAATCTGAAGGAAATCTATTATATTCACCAACAACATAAAATTCTACCAACTAAGTAACCTTATTACAAAATGTTTAGCTAAGAAACAATAATAGAATAAATATGTGAAAAATCTAGAAAATCTCCATCTCCCCTTGAGCCTCCTTTGCAAGTTAAATGTATGTGCACCTGAAAGTGATAAAGGGATGAGCTCACAAGCTCAGCAAGGAATTGCTAAATATTATCATCATTCAGCAAGTCAATCCTTATTTATAATCCGTATATATATATATATATATATATATATATATATATATATACATACATACATATATAAGTGACCACGAAATATCTAAATCATTAAACTATCTAATAATTAAATTGGCTCAACTAAAATTGTGCCAACTATGATGTCATTTTATTACATTAACTCAAATTGTGAACTTGTAACCCATCTAAAAATAAATTACTAAAATTTCACTTACCTCACATAAGCCCTGAACTCCCCTCAACCAGTTGACGTTCTATTGCCATTATCTCACATGAGCCCCAGGCTTCACTCCAATTAAATTGTGTGAATTGCATAGTCCCAGATTACCAAATACACACATGTAACTGGGTTGTACGTCTACTCGCCCAAATGGTCCCTGACCACGTCCACATACTAAGGACACATTTAGTTCAATAGCCATAACAAAAGGGTAATTCACTCCCGTAGACATTCCCTAACCGTAATGTTAGAATAGTCTCTCACTAGCGCTATGACTAATTAGTCTAATTCAAGAACGTCCTCAATCAAAAAATTTATTAAATTTATTCAACATTTAACAACTAAAACTCATAAACCAAGTGCTCCTTAGAGCATTTCCAATGCTCTTTCATTTTGAGCTGCTAAACTCAAAATTTAAGAGAGGTGTAAAAAGTCGGCTCTCCAATGGGCTTTCATTTGGGCTCTCAAATTTTGAGAATGCCAAATTTTCTCTCAGATATAGGAGCTGCCAATTTTTTTGGCAAGTCTTCTCTCTCACTCTGTACGACGCCGTTTGGAACGGCTTTATCTCTGTCCATTACGTTCTCGTCCCCTCTTCCGACTGGTTGCGTTGCCCTGTTGTCTCTCTCTCCCTCTCATCTGCAACGATCTCTCTCTCCCTCTCATCTACAACGACAACGATTATTATCGGTGACCGGGTAAATTCTCAGATCTGTAAATTTTGTTGAAAAAACTCAAAATTTCTATGATCCGTCTCTCTGTTTCTCTCAAAATTTTCATTACCCAACTTGTTCTTCAATCTGGGGTTTGCTTACACTTGTTAGTCATTATGTGTTTCGTATTTAGATGTTCTTTATTTTGATGAATCTTTAAGATTTTTGTACACACTTAAAAAGTGAACTACTATAATGAAGTGTTCTGTAACTATAATTAGATTCCATTTTGTTTCTGGTGGTACTATTAGATCTAGGTTTGATATATTTATGACATTATACGGGACGTGTGGAGTGTGTCCGTTTCTGGGTCCCGATTGTACTGATGGTTTGAAAAAATTAAAAAATGTAAAAAAGCTCTAGTTCACTGGGTTCGGACAACTAATCATCATGCTCAGAAAAATATTGCACAGGCTGAAGCCAAATTGCAACAATTAAAGGAAAACTTGGTCGATTATGATCATGAACAGGTTCTAGCCGTAGAGTAACAATTACAATCGTCTTGGAGACAGGAGGAATTATATTGGTTCTAGAAAGCCCGAATTCGATAGTTGTAGTTGGAGGATCGGAATTCTAAATTTTTCCATGCTTCTACCATCCGACGACATCGTCGTAACCATATTTCCGAAGTAGAGGATTCCACCGGCTGATGGATTGAGGAAGAATCTCAATTTCAAACGATTTTTCTTACGTATTTTCAAGATTTATTCCACACCCGATCGCCGAGTGGTATTGATCAATTTCTACGGCATGTTTCTTCACGAGTTTTTCCTGAAATGAATAGAAGTCTTCTAAATCTGCCTTCAGAGGAGGAAATACGCTAAGCTATTTTTGATATGCAACCTTGCAAAGCTCCGGGTCCGGATAGGATGACACCATTGTTCTATCAGCAATATTGGCCTATCCTCAAGACCGAGGTAATTGATGCGGTACGTAGTTTTTTGCATTTGGGCTATTTTTTTATCTAGTATGAATCATACTAATATCATTTTAATTCCTAAAGTTGATTCCCCACCGAAGTAGCACATTACCGACCCATATTTTTATGCAATGTTTCTTAACGGATAATTGCCAAGTTACTTTCCAATCTGCTCCAAGAATGTATTCCTTCTATTGTTAGTGAATCCCAAAGTGCTTTTGTCACTGGACGCCATATCACTGATAATATTTTGATTTCTCATGAAATCCTTCATTATCTAAAAAATAAAGCGTAAAGGTAAAAAGGCTTTTCTTGCTTTGAAGCTCGATATGAGTAAAGCTTATGATTGTATTAAGTAGTCTTTTTTGTTTGCAATGTTGGTGAAATTGGGATTTCACCCTCATTGAATCAAAATTATCCATGCTTGTATCTCTACGGTCTCTTATTCTGTGATGATTAATGGCAGCCCTGTGGGTTGGTTTAAACCTACGCGAGGTATTCGACAAGGGGATCCTTTATCTCCATACCTGTTTATTTTATGTGCATAGGCTTTATCTATTTTCATATAGGTTGCTCTTCAACATAGAGTACTATTCAGTATTCGTATATGTCCCTATGCGCCTCCTATTTCACATTTATTTTTTGCAGATGATGCGATTGTTTTTTACCAAGCTTCACAATCTGAAATTACATTTCTTAAGACTCTCTTAAAGAGGTATGAAAGGGCTTATGGGAAGCAGATTAATTTCTTTAAATCTGCTATTTTTTTTTTTCCAAAAATACTCGCCCTGCGTTTCGGACTACCTTATGTCAGTTATTGAAAATTCAAGAGGAAGGACTGTGCGCAAAATATTTGGGGATGCCGGCAATTATCGGACGCTCAAAGTGGGATGTTTTTCATTACATTTCAGAACGAGTGGCGGTTCACTTAGCAAGTTGAAAATCCCTCTTATTGTCACAGGCTGGTAAGGAAATTTAAATTAAAGCAGTTTTAAGTGCATTACATACATATGTGATGTCTTGTTTTAGGTTGACTCGTAAGCTTTGTAATGCCATTCTGACACATGTCCGTCACTTTTGGTGGCGTAAAGCGGAGGAGTCTTCCAATATTCACTGAGTTAAATGGGATCTCTTATGTGCATCAAAAGAGAAAGGAGGTTTAGGTTTTCGCAATTTTGAGGCATATAATGAGGCGTTGTTGGCTAAACATGGTTGGAATTTTATGGTTCATTAACAAGGTTTGGCTTTTCAACTTCTTAAAGTTAAATATTTTCACCATTGTTCTTTTTTAGAAGCGCAATTCAGATATAATCCTTTATGGGATTGG